TATGGTGTCTATTTTTCTACTAATTCTTCTATTAGTTATATTTGTTTTTATCATATTCCATATAGCTTTACCTTTGTTATTTGAGCCTAAGATATATTTTTCATTTTATATTTTTTGTGCCTTAACTTACGCCAAAATTCTTAGGAAATGTATTTTGAATATATTTCCTAATAATTTTGGCGTAACTAATATATCCAGATTAATTTAAACATTTATTTGTTGCTGAAAGCAAATATTTACATTATAGCTTTCTTTTTACTACGCAAGATTTTTTTATCCCTCTTGAAAGCCAATAACTTTTATTATTTCTTAAGGAAATCTTAATAAATTTGGTTGTAAAACACAGGTCAAAGAACAGTTTGTAAATATTATGAAAACTTGAAAATGCTTTGGTGTCTTGTACAGTATAGATATCAGAAAAGGATATTGATTTTATACATTTCAAGAACTTTTCGATATTATCTTTCGCTAAGACTTTGTTCAAGTCAGTATTTTACTGTTTTATACTTACTTTTATAGGAAGTTCCAGTATTTGTCCCGTGTGGTCAGAGAGGCCCAAATAATGTATTGAACCATTTGCTTGTGTAACATTGCTTATTGAGTTGAGTTAAAATTTAGTAATAGGTCTATAAGCTTTTTAGAGTATTTATTAACCTTCATTGTGTCTATATTTAAATCTCTTGCAATTATTATTTGTTTTCTATTTTGTTTTGATAATTTTAATTATAATTTATTTAATTTTTCGAAAAATATATATATGTCTGATTTTGGTGTTTGATATATGCATAAAATTATAAGATTAAAGTTACCGATTTCAATTCTGCAACAATCAAAATGTTTTGTCATTTCATATTTTTTCGTAACCATTAAATCATTATACTCGTAATTTATATTTTCTTTTATAACTACATACTCCGTCACGTGTTTCTCTTGGTTTGGAGTAGAATGATGCTAGCTGAAAACTTTACAGCTTAAGGTTAGATTCTTCGTCACTTTTAATAATGGTTATGGTAAGTAAAGCAAATGAGTTGAATATATTTATTACTATTAGCTAGTTCATTGAAACTTACTACAATCAAATCTTGTTTTCTATCTTTGTAAAAAGATTTTTTTTAATTATTTGATGAAAAACCTATGCAGGGGTTTGCTATAGCATTATTTACATCTACGTTATAAGTTTTCAAAGCTCCTCCCGTTGATTTGAAATTCTTAATTTTCATTTTTTCAAAGAAATATTCTATAGTATAAGCAGGGTTATAATTAATAACTACATGAACTTTTTAAGTTTTCATAAGTTGTTTTTTGAAATAATAAAGTATGGTTCCCTTCTTAGGTTCGTCTATTAATGAGGTTCTATCCACATTTTTTTAGTCAAGTTATTATGCCTACTTTTCTGCACTATAAATTGTTTATCATACTCATAACTATCTATATAGACATGTCAATAGAACAACACAAGTTGTTTATGTAATCGTTTGTTGAATTTACATTACAGTATTTATTTTGTAATCAATGTCAACAAGCCTACAATTTTTGTGATTTTGAGTCAATATTTTATAGATATTATTTAACATTTTTTTTCATTTAAAAAAAATTACTTGGTACAGGTAATAAATAAACATTAGTTTTTCGCAGTATATACAAAGCAACGCGAAGATTAGAGTACAATTTATACGGATTTTTGTCATGGCTCACAACACACAATATAGCATAGTCACTTAATGTTACTGTCTCTTCAAGTTGGTTACAATGCATTAAGATATCACATGAAGAAGTGTTTGGTTTTATTGTAGCTAATGGCATATACTTATTATTCCATTTTCTTTCTCTTGATTTGTATAAAGGTGAAGATAAACCCAATATATTTTCATCCCCAAGAATTGTGATCGTATTTTTAGGGTTCCGTACCTCAAAAGGAAAAAACGGAACCCTTATAGGATCACTTTGTTGTCCGTCTGTCTGTCTGTCTGTCAAGTCCCTTTTTCTCAGGAACGCGTAGAGGTATCAATCTGATATTTATATCAAATACTCAAGTCTACTGTCTCTTAGAGCTGTGAAAAAATCAAACTTCTAAGCCAACTCAATCAATAGATACAGCCGTTTATGCCGCAAATTTTCGACATTCGCAAGGGAATCAAAACCTACAGGGTACTTCCCGTGAACTCAGAATCTTGAAATTTGGTACAAAGCAACGTTTTATAGCACAGATAAAGGAAAAATTGCGAAAAGTGTAAATTTTTAGTTATATCATATAATAAAAATATTTTTAATAATTTTAAACTTACGGATTTGTTCGGAACCCTCGGTGCGCGAGTCCGACTCGCACTTGGCCGGTTTTTTTTTTCATTTTAGGTTTTGCTTCTCTGTATGTTTCCAAAGGTAAAGAGGACATACGTCTTTTACGGAGTGTATTGTTTACTCTCTTCTATGTAAGTTTCTTGCAGTTTTAGGTAATTTTCTGTGGTCGAATGAGTGTTTAAACTTTGCCCAATTTTTGTTTTACTATTACTATAAGTTTGGTTTATTTATTTCTAATTTAATTAATATAAAATATAATTAATCTTTATATATAAAAATTACGTGTCATATTGCTTGTCCGCGATGAACTCCTAAACTACTGAACTGATTTCAATGAAATTTTTTGCACACTCTGTGCAGTTTGGTCTAACTTGAGAGATAGGATAGTTTTTATCCTGATAAGTGACCTTCAATATTTTTTTATTGCGAATTTAAGGATTTTTTTTACAAAGGGTTGTCGAAAAGGGCAGAACAATGTCTGCCTGGCCAGCTAGTATTATATAAAAATACATTTCATTACAGCCTTTCATAAGTCCACTGCTGAACATAGGCCTCCCCCAAGGAATGCCACAAAGCACGGTCCTGAGCCACCTGCATCCATCGAATTCCTGCCTGTCTTACCAGGTCGTCACTCCACTTCGCCTACCGGTACGAGGCTGCCACTCGAGAACCTTTCTTCCCCATCGGTTGTCGGTTCTTCAAGCTATATGGCCGTTGAGCTATGTCGGTTACTCTGGTTCTACTCAGATATCCTCATTTCTAAGTTTATCACGCAGAGAAACCCCGAGCCTAGCCCTCTCCATAGCTCGCTGAGCGACCTTGAGCTTCCTCATACGGCCAGCAGTGAAGGACCACGTCTCAGATCCGTAAGTCATCACTGGCAACACGCACTGGTTGTACAGTTTCGTTTTCAGGTTTTGAGGTATGTGTAACGAGAAGATGTGTCATAGTTTCCCGAACGCTGCCCAGCCGAGTTTAATCAGTCGATTGACCTTTCGGTCGAAGTTGGACTTACCTAATCGGACTATTTGTCCCAGCTAAACATACTCGTCAACAACTTCGAGCTTAGTGTTCCCAACAACTACCGGCATAGGTGTGACATGGACGTTAAACATGATTTTTGTTTTGTCCATGTTCATCTTAAGACCTATCCGTTGGGAGACACTATTGAGGTCATTGAGCGTAGTGTTTAGGTCCTCCAGCGATTCTGCCATAAGGATAGTCCTTCGATCGTCGGCAAATCGAAGGTGAGTGATGTACTCGCCATTGATGTTAATACCGCATCCTTTCCAGTCCAGTAGCTTGAAAACGTCTTCTAATGCAGCGATGAAGAGTTTCGGGGATATAACGTCACCCTGTCTTACACCTCTCTGCAGTTGGATAGGTTTCGTACTCTGATTCTGTACTCGGATAGCCATCGTAGCTCTACTGTACAAACACTTCAGCACTTCGATCGATATACTGACAGTCAACTTGGCACCGCTGAAGGGACTGCAGCACCGCCCAAATTTCGACGGAATCAAAGGCTTTCTCATAGTCCACATATGCCAGACTTAGTGGCAAATTGTACTCCTCGGACTTCTGTACAATTTGCTGAAGGGTGTGTATGTGGTCCATGGTACTAAAGCCTTTTCGGAAACCGGCTTGTTCGGGAGGCTGGAAGTCGTAAAGTCTGCGTGCGAGACGATTCGTAATGACTCTCGAAAACAGCACGTAGACGCGGCTCAGAAGGGAAATTGGTTTGTAGTTCTTCAAGAGAGCGTTGTCGCCTTTCTTGAAAAACAAGACCACTGCACTTCTGCTCCACGCCTCCGGATTAGTGCCACCATGGAGGACGGAATTAAAGAGCTTTTGAAGGACTTCAAGTACCGGTTTTCCACCCGCTTTCAAAAGCTCCGCTGTAATTAAATACATTTACCCTTTCATTTTTTTAACAAATTAACTAAACGCGGGGCCTTTAATCTGTCAAAATTTCACCTCGACTTCACCTTAGACTACCTCGTTCTAGTGGTCGTCTCGTGAGTTCGGATCCCGGGTCAGGCCAACAATAGTTATTGGGTATTTCTGTCAAAAAACTCTCAGAAGCACCACGGAATCAGGAAGTTGGCGTTGTTTCACTTCAGTGTTTCGGAAAGCACGTAGAGCTATAGGTCCTACGCCTGAGCTCTCTCGGTTCGTGTCGGATTGCCGTCCCATCGGACTATGGGGGTTGAGAGAATAGAGAGTGCACCTCTCTTGGGACTGGCCGCCGTTTTTTTATAGGAGAAGGGTGACAAACGAGTACATAGTTCACCTGATGATAAGTGGTTGCTGTGGCCCATAGACATTTACATCAATCCTCGATTACGAATTAAAATACAGATGCGTTATCAGTTATCACCCGTGAGGACTAAAACGGAATACCTTGTTTCCAGTAAAAAGGGGTCTCCGGGTTTCTACACTCACCATACGAAACACAGCAGCGTTAAGCTGCTATTTTATGCTGGTATTCTGTGAAAGCGTGGTCGTTCCCCTGTCGAGCCGACTCATTCGTGATACAACTATACCAGTAATATAGCTGCAGCATGGCTCCACCACGTAGAACACTCGACCGAAATTCGACCTGGAGGACATTGTCCCTAAGTGTCGCTGCCCTGGTGGCAAAAGAGTCGTGGATTCGTGAACTCATTATTAGTAAATTAATATATTGTTATCTCCTACAGACACACATTCGTCGACACCGGTCGTGTGCCTGGTTATCGAAGGCGGCACGAACACAGTGCGTGCGGTATTGGAATACGTCACCGACACGCCGCCGGTGCCGGTGGTGGTGTGTGATGGCAGCGGCAGGGCGGCAGATCTCATTGCCTTCGTCCACAAGTACGTAGAATATGATAGTCATAGATATTTTTATAAGCATCCTTATATTACACAAACACATTACTAAAAATACACGAATACACTACCAAAAACATAAATTTAGAAGAGGATGAGATATGTAATTTCTTCTGAATTTGATTGTTAAAATTATTTATTAAAATAAATCAATTATGCGTGTATGGTTTAGTTTAATATATGCTTTATTTCTTCTCTGTGATACAACGTACACTAGAAATTAGAAAATAACAAATTGAACATTATAATGTATATGGCGCAGCCATCTAGCCTTTCAATTAACAGCGTAGCCATTGCATGGCATGGACACCCTATTAATTTCATTCTACGAGACGATCGTTGGTCTGTACCTATTTAGCGCTGTGTGTGTGCTACGTATATTATATAAATGTACCCTTCTTTAAGGTGGCCAAGGGCCACCCCAGGCGCACATTAAACTACTGTCGGTGATATTACAAGATATGTGCAAAGTTGTATTATACACTTGGGCTCAATATCATTCAAGCCGCTAGATGAACGACACCGTTTAGTAAAAAGGCTAGGCTGTTAATTGAACGGCTAATTAAGCTAGGCTATTAAGCTAAATGCCTCCGACACACATTGGATTGCAGCAACGAAAAGGCATCCGAATCAGCATGATGATATAGCAGTGTTGCCACAAACACAACGCTGTTAACGGTGCCTCGTATTTACCGAGCAGTTCAGATCAGATATATTTTTATTATTTAATTAAAATTAGAATTAAAAAAAATTAACATAGTTATTCAATAATTACAGAAACAAAGTCATAGAACCCAATACAATATTCTAAACTTAAATATAGTTGAACAGTATACATCGTTATTATAGCTAAAACTATTTAATATAGCGTCAGTGTACGCACAGCCTCAAGGGTATTACCCCACACACATAATTTGTGATTTTGCACGAATGTTAAATTCTATTGGGATATGAGATGAAGACTCGCGGCGTAGTATCGTAGCTTTGTAGTGTGATTGAAAATTACGGTAGTTTATACCGAGTAAGCATCAGTACGATAACATACTCGTACCTAAGTACCACTAAATTATTTGACAGTGAACACTTGTAAATGTATTTTTTCTTGTAGTAATACAAAATGATCTTATTCAATAAATGCTTTTAATTTATAAGTGTGCACATAATGTTAATAAATGATAAATGATAATACCTCTAGATCAAGCACTTACTTATAGATTACTTTATTTAGAATATTGATAAGATGTATTGTACCTATATTAGGACCTTCTTGTTTTCTTTGTCGTTCCAAAATAGATCACTATTGGACATGGGTTTTTCCCGTAGGTTTGAAGTTAATCCTGGGCGTTTCGCAGTTTGGACTAGACGTATAAGACCCGAACATAGTAGTTTCAGATCGGTTTGATATGGAAAATCAGATGTGCCCGATTTGACGCGTAGTGGTGGGGAGTAACATAATCTATTACTCTACATCATGCTCTAAGAAATGACTGTAGAAAGAGCAATAAAGAGATAGATGCAGTATAACCATTTCATATAAATTTAATATAAAGAACCTGACAGAAAACAGGCGACATCATCAAAGGTGTGGGTCATCAGATACTGCGATCGCCAATCCAACTGTCAAGCGTGGTGATTAAAGAATTTCCTTCATACAATAGAAGAGGCTCACGTCCAGCAGTGGACATTCACAGACTCATAACGAAGAGAGGTCTAAACGGCGAACAATTTGATCTTAACCATGGTTTGCTTAGAAAGTTTAAATATGGTAATTGGTTTGTAATTTCGTCGACGTCACATATCTTTCAACTGCTCGTGGCTACTTCACACAACAAGAATAACAGCGCTATGGCAATACTGCCGTAGCAACATACTGAGTCGGCAGTCGCTTCGTTACTGCAATCCAATATTCATATATTGACTATCTGTTTTTATAAGTACGGAATTTCTACTTAGGTACGCTTCAGAGACCGGGGAGCAAACAGTTTTGGAGTCAATGCGAGATTACCTGATCGGCACCATACAGAAGACGTTTGAAGTAGGATTGCAACAAGCGGAATGCCTATACAGCGAACTGCTGCAGTGTACAAGAAAGAAGAACTTGGTAAGTACCAGCTTGTAAAGTAAAGATGAGAACTGATGGAATCTATCAGCTCTTGAAAGTTAAATAAAGTAATACAGAGGGCGCTCGGGTGCAACTATTGTGATCCTTTGTTTACTCTTTTGATTAACAGCATAAGAGTAGATGATTTTTTCTTGAAACAGATCCGCACCCTCTCTCGACAGTGTCTCGTGTCAGAAACGCATTCTTAAGCTCTTCAGCCATGTTTAAAAACAATCCGATATCTATACAAATAAATAAAATTGAAGTGTCTGTTTGTAATGTCAAATTTGAAATGCATATGAAAGTAAATACGGTACTATAACTAAAATACAATATTGAATTTTTTTTTCTGTCTGTCTGTCTGTTTGTTCCGGCTAATTTCCGAAACGGCTGGACCAATTTTAACGGAACTTACACTGGCAGATAGCTGATTTCATAAGGAGTAACTTAGGCTACTTTTATTTTTAAAAAATAATTACGGTTCTACGCAAAAACATAAAAAGCCTAACACGCGAGCGAAGTTGGAACAACGCGGGGAACAGCTAGTCACCAATAAGCGACTGCAGTAAGCAGTGCTCATAGAGGGCGACTAAGCCCAATCGACTCACTGCTATTTTCTGCGATCGCATGGTGACCACGATCCTCATAATTTAGGAAATGACTAGGATTTAGACGACTTTTAAAAACAAATATTTAATATTTGTTTTTAAACTCTATGGTCACTTTTATTACACAAATAATGCACGTTTAGGGTTGCAGGGTTAATTTCAATTAAAGGCAGGTTGAACAAAAGTATCGTTGAAATAGGAAAAAATATGCGCGTACATGAAATGCTTAGATAAATTCATAATCGATTGGAATTTTTAAAATACTTTATATTAATGAAGCTAAATAAAATAAAATTAAAAATAATTATATTCGCCGAAAAAACGCTTTGACGTTCGAGATCTTGTTTTTTTAAGCGATAACCAAATGTAATTTTATCGATAGTATAAAAGGCATGTTATTGAATTTATTTGTTGAATTATTTCCCGATAATAAGCAAAAACGTTTCAAATAAAGTAGCTTTTTGTCCACAATGTCCAAATGTCGCATGTTTACTTCGTGCTCGACAAATATGCCTGCAGGGAAGAAGAGATCACTAAAAGCCTTTTAACGTAGAAAATCCTCGCCTTAAGGCAGTATTGCAAAAACATATAGTAAGTGTAAAAGTAACAAATGAATATCCAGTAGATTGAAATGAAATAAACTTGTCTCATTTTGCAATTTTTTTTTTGTATACACATACAATAGAAATTGTACACATTATTGTCGACTGTTCGTGGGTTCCTGCCATCGGTGCCGATAGAATAATAGAACTGCGGAATAGGGGAACTGTTATGAAGTGGCGACGTAAAAATATCCTCTACTCCATAATCATACCATGGTTGTCGGAAGAGGCAACAGTGGGAAATGAAACGGAAGATGGGAAGCAGCATCTTTCTGGCAACAAGTGAAAATAATAAAAGTAACATCAAATTCTTCAGAGTATGTAATAGTATCTTTTTTACCATTTAATTTCACCAACACGTATTGGAGAATTCTTGAGGTGGCGTCGTAAAAGAATCTATCATTCTGTCGTCTCCTGGGCAGTTATAATTAATTTTATTTTCATCATGTAATGTATGAAGAAGATAATGAATCTGAAAGAAGCGAAAGAGATATGTAAGGATCGTGACACTTGGCGATCTGTTCTCTCTGGCTACCCCGTCAGGGATTGTGCGTGAAGATAAGTAAGTAAGTAAGTAAGTATTTTCATCATGTTTAGTTACTATTTAACTAATGGCATGACCTACTTATCTTATACTTTAGCTTTGTAGTGGGTAAGAGAATCCACTACTCCATATCAGCCAGTAAGAGTCGTAAGAGGTGACAAAGGGAAACTGAAGCAGAAAATAGGCAGCACTTCACGTATTAATACACAGAGTTACTTTTCAAAGAGAAGATTTAAATTTTATATATAAGTTTAAAAATATAAATAATTGTATACCGTTACCAGTAAACAGAGTTCCAGCTTTCGTAGCTCACCGTGCGAAACACGGCAGCATATTGTTGCTAATTCACATCGGCATTCAGGTAGTACGAGCTTGGTCATGCAGACCTTTGAAAATACGAGTAAATAAGGCTTCTACTTTTATTTGAAATTATCCCAAATTGAATGTAATTTATGGGCAACAACGTACGCGCTCCTCTGTGTGCGATTCAATTCACAACATTTTCGGTAGACCCTTACGAATATGTGCGTGCGTAGTAAAATAGTAGACGTTTGATATTTATGAATGACAATCAGTTAATGCATTCCACACATTCTAAATTTAAAAGATAAAAATGACAGAATGTTTGAGATTATTTTTAATTAATCTTTTCACCGTTCGCCTATATTACATATTATTCTAAACCTTCTCTACAAAATTGACCGTATATTGCAAAATGTAATAAATGTAGTAAATACCTAGTCAGGTCATAAATTCTGTCACATGTTTAATATAAAATAATTGAAACAAGTTTATTCATTATGTAACCATTTATACCTAGTCAGGTCATAAGTACGAGTATTGTCACACAATAAAAACTTTTCTTTTAGAATGCTGGCCACAAAAAAGTTTATTGAATTCGAATTTCGAATTGTTCATGAAAATAAAACTGTATACTTTTTAGAATTTTACTCATTTTTAAATATGGAGTGGACGCTTAAAGAAGACTGTGTTGCAGTTACTGCGTTGCATCGTTGCGGTTACGCGCCAATTCAAATTTTTGACATACTGAAAAAATATAACCAAAAGGTTCGTTTATCGTACCATCAATCGATACAATGAAGACTCTAGTGTAGATGACAGGTCAAGAAGTGGTCACCCTCGGTCTGTTAGGACTCCAGTAGTGATAAAAGCTGTGAAGGCGCGAATTCAAAGAAATCCCAAGCGTAAGCAGAAACTGTTGGCCCTTCAGATGGGGTTAAGCAGAACCACGGTGAAAAGGGTGTTAAATGAAGACTTAGGGCTTCGGGTATATCGAAGAAAAACAGGACATCGTTTGAATGATCGTCTAATGGACCTGAGACTGAAGAGATGCCGCGCTTTGTTGAAGCGGTCATCATCATCATTACCATTACCATTTTTTAATTAATTAATTACTGATAATAATTTTAAATTTCATGGTTTCTTTTGAAACCCTCGCTGTTTACTGTAAGTTGACAGTTGCGGACCATAACCAGAACCCTCATCAGTTTCATTGTGTTTCTTCATTTCACATTGTAGGCTTATAAACTCCTACAATGGTTATTATCTGACGGATATTGTCTTTCATCTTTCAGCTTTCAAAAGCGGGAAAGTAATCAAGGAAAGACTTATTAGGTTTCAGTAGCGTATTTCCTGTAAAGCTAAAGATTTATTACGTGTGTTTTGTGTACCTTATTTTGTTGTACTCAGACTTATGAAAAATAATGCTTTCTTCACAATCAAGAGTCCTGGGTTCAAATTTGTGATAAGAAGCCGTTTTTATTTTTTTAAATACTTTATTGCTATCATCTGAAATAAAAGGATTAAAAGGGCGCACCTAATGCCTTTTGGCATTCCCTCTCAGTCAATCCCGTTTTTGTGCAAACACAAAACTATTATTAAATGTCTTTGGAAAAATATCTTATCGTCCCAGACACAGTGGAAGCCTCTGTGCGTCATCTGTTTGCATAATATACGTAAGGCCAAAAACGGATAAATTAGGACGAAATATCTCCGTGTTTACACTTTTTACCTATTAGAGCCTATTTGATATAATGGATCAAATCCTTTTTGCGACTGGAGACGTTTATGTTCAGCTGTGGACTTTTCCGGGCTGATGATGTAGATAATGATGCACTGAAAAGTTGTTAACTATTATACCGAGATTGTTGTGGATGTCGAAAATGGCCAGAAAAGTATTTATCTTGATAAAAGTTCTGACACGAAGGAAAGTCGAATTGGGTTTGTCATCTTATTTTACGTTTCCTGGACCTGAATTCCATTCAATATTAGTGGTAAATTTCGGTTATTGCAGGTTGGTTGTGTTTGCTTATCCCCTAGTGACCAGGAGAACATGATATAGGTACATAAATAAATTGAACTCCACCCTAATTTGATCTCTTTAAATAAAAATAAAAACATCTAAATATATTTTAATATCGATGCGTATATTCTAAACAACAAACAGAATTCTTTTGGGAAAAATATTTATGTGCAGTAAAAGCAGATTATACCCCGGTGGGAAATAAGTAACTGAAGTTGGAAGTTTATTTGCGATATTTTGTTAATTCACCAATGTAACCTCACGTCTATGGAATTGAAAATGTTGGTACACTAAACTAGAAAGAATTAAAAAAAAATAGTTGATTGAATATGTGCTTAGGTTCTAGGTCATTTGTGCAAATACGTAGGCACATAAAAGTATAGCTACATTTATTTCTCCATACCCAATGTCCCAGTGCGATTAAAAATGTAAAGTAAAATAAAGTGCATACAACTCAATGCAAAATACGGCAGGCCATGCAAAAAGTTTTACAGAAAAGATTTTTTTGTATAAGACTGCTCAGTTCTCTTGTGCGCTGTCCAGGAAATCCTTTGTTTTGAGCGCCGGATGCGCGGGGTCATTTTTATGATGAAGCAGTAGCTAGTAGAGTCCTGGGTTCGATCACCTATTGCTTACAACAATGAACACTTCTGGCACACATTTGGCATTATCCCATTCCACATTAATGTAACTTGATTTAGTAAACAGAGATACCACGTCAAAGTGAAAAAAAAACTAGCGATCAAAATCTTCCCTGCGCTTCCTGGTCGCTTTACCTTGGAAGGCGTTGGTTTGAAACAGCCAAACTGACTATTGGTGATTCGTTTCTCTTCGCTTTGTATAAATCCAAGATTCATCATCTGTAATTAAGTCGTAAACACGGCGAGGCGAGTCTGCTACAAATTTAGTAATCATGTTACAGC